CACGAGCAGACTGAGCTCAGTGCACGGCCGCCTGAGCGCGTGAAAAGTCGTTCAAGTCCTCCACTCTGAAGGTACCTGTCCACGGTTCTGCCATGAAATTTAGGTACCTGTCCTCCGGGCCTCCAATTTAGCAGTAAATTTAAGGTACATGTCCACAAATACCTTACGACTTTAAGGTACCTGTCCACGAACAATTGAATTGTGCAGACTCAAAACGTTATCTTGTGGACACCAACATTTCGACTTCATCAAATCCAGCGAGGGCGAAAGGGACTCCAGTTCCGCCTCCAGCGACCAGCAAAGTGACTCTAGTGCCAAGTTGGTCGCTGGAAACAAGTTTCGAAATCCAATCTGGTCCGTTGGATGATCTAGTGCCTCACAATCGACGATCCTTACCGACCGCGTCAAGTTCCGAAAATCAGAGTCAAACTTCATGGTGACGGTACTCACGGCGGCCGCGCTGGCCCCGGACCTGGCAGCCTGGCGCGGCAGCCGGCCCCGGCCAGCTCGGCGCGCTAGCACGCGCGGACATGCACACCAGGGCACATCGTGACCATGGCCCGACCAGGGTCACCATGGTACTAGTACTATGCCGGGTCATGGCCCATGGGGCATGCCATGATGATCAAGAGCATACGTACTTGAGCTGATCAGCAGCATACAATATTAATGGCAGAGCCGGAAGCACTCTCACCACTTGCGCGCGGTTCCCAAGCCAGTGTTGCAAGTTGCTGCATTATTGCATGCCATTTCTAACCGCTCGATCACATAAACACATGTATGTAATAGTATGCACAATTCGGTGGAGTGTCCGGACTGAAAGGTTCAATCCACGTTCAATCATAGACAAGTCGCGATCGCGCATTGTGGCATGTACATAACAAGTCAGTGAATATATGCTAGTATTGCACATGATGTCACCGCGTGGCCCCCGCGTGGCTGGGCCAATGCACGCGTATAGTGGCGGAGAAACTCTTGCACCAGTCAATTGACATCATTGACAGACTGCGGCGACTGCACCGTACAGCTCTGATAGTGAAACATGATATCGGGCCTTGTAGGATCCATTCGGCGACGCATACAAAAACTTCAACACGAGTGGGACCGTTCCATGTTGAAGCCGTTCAAGACGCTATAACTTTTCCACTATCGCACTGAATTCGGCCCATATAGCAAGCATGTCATGCGGTACCTTGTCGATGCGGCAGCGCCTCGGCGCCATCACATCTCAAGCCTCATCTACGAATTGCATCCTACTAATAATCCAGTAAACAAAACAGCTGGCTACAAGCAATTAAGATCATTCCGCTTTCAGTACCCAAAATAAACAATCTTCAGTAGTCCATTTCATTGCAGTGGTCGAAACTTGAATAGTCCCAGATTACCGAGCCTTGTTCAAGACTAGCAGAGAACCCTTGTGTGGAACAGAGAAAGGAACCGCTTTACTACAATGGAAGATTTAGTTTTCCTACTTCTCAACCAACCCTCGTTATGGAAACCCAGTCCAAGGCCCGACCACTTGGATCACGTTTGCGGGCAGCCCTGGCTCGCACGCTTCGACCATGGCCTGGTGCTCTTTGTTCAAGAAGTGCACCGTCAGCGGACGCCTGCACAAAACGAACCTACAGATTAGGGACGTCATTTTCATCGCTACTAGCTTCCATAGGACCGTAAGCAGGGAGCAAATACCCGTTGTGGATCGGAATCAATCTTAGATAGTTGAAGCAACTTCTTGACTTCTTGATGCAACTGAGTGCGCTTACTTGATCTGAGGGTGAGTTGCCAATGCTAGATGCTCATTCTCAACCTCTTCATGTACAGTCCCCAGCCCGGAGTCTAGGGTAGAGTCTAGGGTCTAGACTCGGCGAACATAAAACTTCCATCCAATTTCGAAGTGAAGAGAAAAGCATTCGGTCAGAAAGCCAACTTGAATAATTGAGTTTTAGTCGACGAGATTATTTTGAACGCCGCTGTTTTCACATATCCTACGAGGGCTGTCTCCGCTTACGAAAGGACGGTTTCTCGCCCGTTTCGGCTTCATCGATAGTCAGAACCCATTCTGCAACCTAGAATGATTCACAAACGGTAAAGCAATGAGGAACCAAAGCAGGACTCAATTCACAATTACACAATTCGCTCCTGGACACAAAGAATTGAACGACCTTCAGATTGAAGTTGTTATGAATGTTTTGCTAGCATGTGACCCTTTGACGTCTTGAGTTTGCTAACAACCCACCTAGCCCACTCCGGTCGATTCAGCATGATTGTGAGGATGCGCAGCTTCCCCGCCACGCCCGAAAGCTGCCGGTGCGTGAGGTCGGAGACCGCACGGCGGACATCGCGGCTGTAAGATCGCGGCGACTGCCAGACTCGTTCAAACTGCAAAAAAGAAGAAGTCATGGGCTGGCCATAGTAAGGAGCCATCAGGATCTGCCGAGCCAGAAAAGTGCAGAAAGCTCAAGTCAATGGAAGAAGAAGTTCAATACGAAACGCACCAAACACTAGTTAAGCATGCCAAGCATCAAAACACTGTTCAATGCTGGTGCCGAGCTCCGCCGGCGCTGATCTGTAGTGTACTAGTTGTTCAGACAACATATAGAGCACAATCGAACAATCAGCATAACGCAATTTGTAAGGACTGTAAATCTGCAGGCGCCTCACCCGCATAGCCTCTCTTTGAGAAGTGAAGCCATAAATTATGGCAACAG